CCCCAACTGATACAGAATTATGTGCTGATTACCTCTCAGAGAAGCTATAACTGGCAGAACTGGGAATCTATTGACAACAGAAGATCAAGTGTTAACTGTATATTGATTGGAGTGATGCAAGATGAGCAAGAAATTAAAATGCCCTGTGGAGATGCATGAATATATATATATTCTCTACCCTGAACAACAAATTCTAGGCAACACCCGGCCCTTCTACTCTGACACTCAAATATCCTACCTGTTCTTCAAACAGGAAGCATCTTTACAAATGCTTAATCATTCTTTACTTGACAAATTCTGTTTTATTTACCTCTCAGGTAAGTCTGCACCACACACCACGCCCCAGCCAGACTCGCATACTAGCTATGGGTCAAAAATTTTGCTTAGGTATTTTCCTTCCTCCCACCCTAGACTTGACCTCAATCTTCTATCACTTTGATGTTATCTCTCAAACTCGAAACTCTGGGTTCTGAGGTCCTAACTCAGATCCCTGCCTTAGGACACCTAAATGTCACATTCATCTGTGTGCATCCTGGTATCTGGACTTCAGAGCCCTATGGACTCTGGTTTGACTTGACTTTTCAGACCCTGAACCTCCTGGGATTTTGGCAGAAGCCCACAGCCCCAGCTCCTACCAAAGTCATCTCCTACCTTTGATGACCTGGATGGTGCCACCCAGTGAGAAGGAGGTGTTGGTATCTGGACATCACATGCAGGACCCAACATCCTGGAAGTGGAGTTAAGCCACTTACAGAAATACAAATTAAGCATCCAAAAAGCTTTGAGGAAATTATACTTCATTCTACCCAACCCAAGGTAATCAGGGGAGTCCTCCTGGATTAGGTGACCTTTGTAGGACTGGCACAAATTTAGCTTAACCACAGCTATATGTCGTGGTCCAGGAGCTGAGCTGGGAAGGTAGGAAGGGAAAATGCTTTGGATAATGGAGAAAGCCAGAGAATTGGAATGTGAGGCCTTATGTAGACAAAAATCAGTTAAACGATTAAAATAATGAAGAGAAAAACAGTAAGGAGGGAATACAGGCAAGTTTCAATGTTCTGTTCTAAAAAGAACCAGGGAAACTGTAACCACCAAAAATAAGCCTCCAGTTCATTGAACACTTAAAACTTGTCTTTCATAAACTTCTTGCTGGGGTGACAAACACCTGAACAGTAAAAAAGAGGGAAAACTAGACGAACATCAAATCTTAGTCTGTTGCCCCCAGATTGAGAGCACGTCATTCCTGGGGGTGGGGAGAGTAGAGCTCAGCAGTGTGAGGTCCTGGCTTCAATCCCCAGGACCCCCATAAACGAACAGACAAACAAGCCTAGCTGCCCCCCCACCAAAAAAAGAGCACACCATTTCCACAGAGATGAGAGGCAAGCCCTAGTTCTGAGGCTCTTGGCAGTTCCAGGAAGCGCACATGTTTTCTGGACTCCCATGAGTGCTCTTGACAGGCTGAGCTGGTGAACATGTCCTAAGAATGCATCTGTGAACAACTTCTCTAGTAAAACACACAGGGAAAAAATCGCTGAAGATATTTCTGTTATAAATAAATATAGCACTATATCTTTCTGACTCCTTATGGCAAAGGAGATTTCTCTATAAAACACAGACACACACACAATTTGTAAGGACACCAGCAAAATCACTGTTCCCTCTGAAAACCTGTTTTGACGACGTTTATTATCTAACAAATATAATTCTAGTCGATATGTTTGGAATAAGTTCCACAGATCCTCACTATCTAAAATACTCTGATCAGAAATTTTCTCACTCATGGTACTAAAACAATACCTGTCAGATTCATCAGATTAGTTAAATTAGAGTTGAACTCTATGTAGACTTCTTGCAGACCCGTCCAAAGGACTGTGATCCACCTCAGGATAGTCAAATCATGAAGCGGTGAAATCATAGTACCGTGCCTCTGAAGTGGAGCTAAGTGCTAGGAAGCCTTAGAAATGGAGGAGACGCAGGAATATTTTTTCGCATATAACCTGTATAAAGCCGAGATCCATGTGGTTCAGTTTCAGAATGGTGTCAAAGAAATACAGTCCAGCATAAGAAGGAATTTCAAAGACTCACATTCTTTAGCTGAGGTTCTTGGAAACCATGAAGAGAAGGCCAATATACAGCACACTACAACATTTATCTGCCCGTGTCACTCATAGCAGGCTGCACTTGTTCTGAAGCATCTCTGGCCGCAATTTCCCCACGCCTTTTTCCAAACCAAGTCCCACACTTGGGTCTTCCCTCTCTTTCCTTCCTCTCTTTTTCTTTCTCTTGATTGTGTACTTTGATACAACCCCTTCTGCAATAATTAAAAAAGGAATAAAGCCACTCCCCATTTAGGAAGGGAAGGAGGGAGGAAATTGGACAGGCATGACAGCATTATTTTTGTTATCTGGGAAAGGGAGGGAGGTTGCAGAACAATCTTGATTCCACTGAACACCCTCCCTGCCAAAGAGAGATAAGAGAACTTAATTTACACTGAGATCAGGGTGGGGAACCCAATTCTGAGGTAGAAATGAATCCCGGGCCACACATTCATAAAAAGTGTATCTTACAATCATCTCTGTTGGTTGATGTATTATTTCTTTATTGTAAGAGAGTGAATATAAGATGTTAAACAGCTCATGCTTTGAAAATTAAGAGGAGGTTACATAAAACTTGTCTTAGTAAGTGCACCAAATAAAAATAACAATAATAAACTATAAATGCTGATATATAGATATACAGATATAGATATATAGATACATCCAATTATCTCTCTTACATTTAACAATGTGAATAATAGAGACAAATAACTTGAAGAAGGTCAGATAAAACAATGTTCTCCCTCACATAAAGGCTACACCCTAAACTGAACAGGGGAAAACATCATGTAATTTATCCCTCGTAAATCCCAGGTACTATGCCAGCTTTTAGAGCCAAACCAATGTTCCAACATCTGTGAAACCAATTTTATAATGTTTTAAATCAAAATTTCAAGTAGAATCTTCTTATTGTGCACACACACTGGGGCAGGATTTTACTTCCTTGATCCAGGTTGGGTCTGGGGAGGGACCCCTTGAGGAATGAGGTCTGCATCTCAACTGCTCAGCTTAGCAGAGGCATCAAAACTGGCAGAGGAGAGAGGCCAACTCTCCTCTCTCAGAGGGTTGGGGCCCCCACAAATTACTGGAAGCCAGAAAGGTGTGGAGAGAAAGAACAGTGGGAACCTATGTCTGAAGTGGCATTTCCAATGGGCATTCAGGCAGCTTCCTTCACCTGAGTGTGGGTAAAGGCCTCCCTTACACAGAACTCACACTTCCCTCTGTGAACTGCTAAGCCAGGGCAAGATGTGCAGCCTTTGGGAGCAAATAAAATGCCCCCAACTGCAACCTAACTCCCAAACAACTCAGCCCAGCGTTGTGCTTCAAGGGCCCACAGCTCTGCCCTGCAAAAAAGCCGAAGAGCCCTGCAGCCCAGCCAGTGACTTCATCCTCAAGAGACAAGGACTTGATCCTGGCAGGAGAGTGGTGATGCACTATAGTGCAGTATTAGTCTGCACAAGCTGCTATAACAAATTGTCATAGGCTAGGTGTCTCAAACAGTAGAAATATTTATTTCTCACAGTTCTAGAGGCTACATATTCAAGATCAAAGTGCCAGCGGGGTCAGGTTCTGAGAAGAACCCTCTTCCTGGTTATGGCCACCTTCTCCCTGGGTCCTCACATGGCAAAGAGAAAGAAAGAAGCAAGTTCTCTCATGTGTCTTTTTATATGGGCACTAATCCCATTCATGAGGGCTCCATCCTTATGACCCAAACACCCTCCCAAAGGCCTCACCTCCTAATGTCATCATATTGGGGTTAGGATTTCAACATATGTATTTTAGGGGTAAACAGTCAGTCCATCACACACACACACGCACACGCACATGCACACGCACGCACACACAACTTACAGACACAGGACTCTAAAGTCACACAGTGTGGATTCTCTTGACAGTCAGCAACATCCTCTGCCTGCCAATCTAAGCAGAGTTCTAGATTAAGGTCAAAAGTTTTGGGGCTTTGTTTTCAATGAGAGGACACTGCGCTCTGTGAAAGCGGCACCGTAGACTAAAGGCAGCCCTAGAGGTGCTGCTACTTATTTTCCTGAGGGAACCACTTACCCACTCAGAGCTTCAGTTTGCTCATCTGAAAATTTGGGGATGAGAAAATCCACCTTGTAGGATTTTTATCAATATTTAATGAGTTAATTAATCTATGAAAAGCAACCAACTAAAAGTGGTAACAAGCGACAGCAGACTTTAGAAAAAGGATTTGCTTGGCTCTACCACATGGTCTCCAAAGGTGAAAAGAATGAGGTTGGTGAGAAGGCGGTGGCTGGTTACTAACAAGGTTTTGAGAGCTGCCTGCCTGCCAAGTTTAATTTTGAATCTTGGGCTCTTAGAAGCTTCTATAAAGGGACAAGCCATCACAATGCCGCACCTTGTAGTGCGGCTGGCAAAAATGCTTGTAAAACGGGGAGGGGGTTTGTGTGTAAAGCTCAAGTGGTAGAGCGCATGCTTAGCATGCATGAGGTCCTGGGTTCAATCCCCTGTGCCTCCTCTAAAAATAAACCCCCCTCCCACCTGCCAAAATAAAATAATTAAATAATACAATAATAAATGAATTAAATATTTTTTTAAATGCTTGTAAAACACTCAAAGCCTGTTAAAAATTCCCAGCAGATCTCTTCTCCCGGAGCCTTCCCCACCCCACACCAATGCGCCACTGCACATCTAAGGAAAACAAAGAAGAAATTCTAAAGCACAAAGTAGCAGCCCAACTGTTGCAGTGGTTTCCCCCCGAGGGAGAATGTGCCTCTTCACACGCTTGGCTGGAGCTGACTGGGAACCAGACTGCATTCACTGAGCAAGTGGAGAAAGATTTGTCTCCAGCCAGGGCAAATTATGACATCATCTTTTGGCATTTTAAATATTCGACTGTTTACCTTGAAAAGCCTCTTGCCATTCATTTCTTTTCTAGGTTGAATGGCGGAGGCCGACTTTCAGCTTGCATTAATTGCAACTCTTAAGGAAAGAAGACTTATCTAACCCATTTGAGAAAAACTGCTCATGGAATATTGGGACGAAGCACTGGAACAGAAGACCACAGACCTGGGTTCCGGATAACTCCATCGTGATGACCAGAAACAATCCAGGACACGTTCCAGCCTCCATTTCCTTGTCTGTGAGATGGATGGAGACGTCCCTAAGGTTGCTTTCAACTCTGAGAGCCACAGAACTTGGGGCAAATGAACCATACAGCTAAGGGCTTGACTGTCACCTGTGGTTTCTGCTCCTTGAAAGGAGTGGGGATTAGCTATTTAGACACAGGAATGCAGCGCTTTGATTATTCTGGTGTCTGTTTTCACAGGCATTGAAGCTGAACCCACTGCCAGCCGTGAGACCTGATGGGACCTCTCCTCTCCTTTGAAAGTGAGTAGGCTTGGCTGATACGTGACACCACAGAGGTGCCCTCTCCAGCCCTGCGGTGATTAAACCCCATCTTGTTGCCTACTGGGTGTGTGGCCTTGGTTAACCACAAACCCGCCTAACTGCCTCACTGACAGGCCAGCTGAATGCCGTTACTTCTTAGACAGCCCGGAAGCGATACGACTAGAAGAGCTACTCAACTGCTAAGATGTTACATTCCTAAAGCCCTGGCTGTAACCCACAGGGACTCCAGGCAAGATAATGTCCCAGCCACTTTACTCCTGGATGACATAGAAGTCACCTGGTGTCCTGCGGGTGGCATGGCATAGAGAATGGTGAGTGAAACTAAAGCTCTTGGGGCACTTAACTGAGGTCCTCTGAGCAGGTGGCAAAGGAAGAAAGCACTGGCCTTACTTAAAAGGGCAATTAAAGTTCAGGGAGGAAAGGAAGTGTTGTTCTTCTTAATTTTTCACACCCTGCCTGACCTCTACCTCCATTCCACAAATAGCCAAGGGTACTGTTTGCTGCCAGCAGAGGTATACGGATCCCTCTGGAAAGCTATGAATGATTTACAAGCTGGGTCAATAATTAAGTTGCTGGGGAATGTGTACAAGGCATAATCAACCTTAACTCTTTAAGTCCCAGGAGACACTCCCAGGGCTGGCAAGAGAAGAATGGAATGGAAACAAAGCAAAATCCACACAGACTTGAGATGCTTTGAGGTAGTAAAGTGTGTCAGTCTGTTATTGGGAAAGGCTGATGAGTAGATGGTATTTCCCATCTTGGTCTGAGAAGAGATCCAGAACAAAGAAAACGCGGTGTATTGGTTAAAGTACCCAAACCCCCCACTTCTCTTCTAGCTGTGTGCTGGGAGGCTGGGTGGATGCGAGTGGGCCCTTCTCCTGGACTGGCTGGAGCTCCCTCAAGGACCTCTTCTATGACAATTTTAATCATGGAAGACCCAGATGGTTCCTAAGGGGAAATCACCTACATGTTCGCTTGGGAGAAGGGAGCAGCCTCTCTGTGCCTGGTCCATGGGAGGCGCAGCTCCAGGCATCCACTCCAAATAAGGGATCACAGATAAAACCCCTGAAAGGGTCAGCAACAGGACCTGTGCACAGCGTCGAGAAGTTCAGAGAAGTCAGCCAGGTTTGGGGAGGCCTGTCAGGTTGGACAGGACTGGACCCAGGCCTCAAATGATGGGTGGGCAAGCGGCAGGACACTTCAGGGACAGACAGTAGCTTCTTCCATATAATCATTCCAGCCACAAATCCATGCAGAGTCCTGCCTTCCAGAAACCAGACATGGAGTTAGGAGTTGGGGACACATGAGTGAGAGAGAAAGGCAGTGCCTGTTACAGGCTATGTTCCCTCAGATTCATATGTTGGACTCTTGGAATGGACTCAGTAACTCAGAATGTGACTGTATTTAGAAAGGTGAGGTGATTACATTAAAATGAGGCCATTGGGTGGGTCCTCAGCCAATCTGACTAGTGTCCTTATAAAACCCAGCAGGACCCTGTGGGGCCCTCCTGGGCACAAAAGCCTTTCCACTTCTTATCGGCAGGAAAAAGCCTTCAGCCTCCTCAACCTTCCTGAATACCAAAGAGCAGATTCAGACAGTTACTAGTCAGAGAAGTAAAGGAATGCAGAAAGAAGAGAGGAGCTGGGGAAAGGGGGGAGAGTATAGCACGTGTTTAGCACATACGAGGTCCTGGGTTCAATCCCCAGCACCTCCATCAAAACAAACAAACAAACAAACAAACCTAATTACCTCCCCCCTCCAAAAAAAAAAGAGTAAATAAAACCAAAAAAAAAAAGTATTAAAGAAAAAGAAACAGGAGGAGCAATCAAGAAATGCTAGTGCAGCAACTAAAGCAGGATCCTGGTTCTTCCTGAAGGGATGTACATAACAGTATCTTTGAGTTCTTCTGCAGGAACTAAGGCCCTCTGCCCAGGTGGAGGATGACAACTTCAGGCTGAGCACAAGATTCGTGGAGCACCGCCCTGTGACCTCACAGCAACCAATAGAAGAAAGTCACGCAACCTGCAGCCCTCACTCCACATTTTGCCTGTAAAAACTTCTCCCTGAAAATCATCCAGGAGTTTGGGGGCTTTGAGCATGAGACACCATTCTGCCTGCTTGGCCCTCTAATAAACTTTCTCGGCTCCAAATTTCGACATCTGTTTGCTTGGACTCAACTCTTCATGGGGCATGTGAACTTGCATTCAATAACTCTTATAAGAAGAAACCTGGATACACAGGGAGACAGCAGGAATGCAGGTGCACAGAAGGAAGACTATGTGAGGATACAGTGAGAAGGCAGCCATATGCCAGCCAAGGAGGGAGACCTCAGGAGAAGCCAAACTGGCCAACACCTTGGTCTTGGACTCCCAGCCTCCAGAAGTGTAAGAAAATAAACATCTGCTGTGTAAGCCCCCAAGTCTGTGGTGCTTGGTCATGGCAGCCTGGCAGACTGACACAGTGCCCCCCTCACAGGGCTTGAGTGTGTGGAGGAAGACAGACAATAATTACACAATCAATTCTTTCATGACCACTGTGCCAGGTACTAGGAAGGGAAAGGACAGGGTGCTTTGAAGGCACCCAAAGAACAAAAGTGGACAGAGGGAGTCCTGAAGCCCAGCCGCAGAGGCGCAGGGAGCTCAGAGAAGAGGCGGACCTGGGTGGACCCTGCAAGTGGTGGGCAGAGAGGCTGACCAATGGGGAGCTCCAACTACAGAGCCCCCTGATGTGGCCGGATGAAGTCATGCTCCATCTCCACGGCAGTGTGGAGCTATTTCAGGTTTCCAAGCAGAGAAGAAGCACAAGGACAGCAGGACTTTGGGGAGATTTTTCTTGCAGGCACATGCTGAGGGGCTGCAGGGCTCAAGGCATGGAAAGAGGGGCACAGGGAGGAGGGCTGAACCAAGGTGGGGGCCGGCAGCAGGATAAGAGGGGAGAGACTGCACACAGAAATCACTGTGAAGAAGTGACAGGTATTGGTGATTGACGGGAAGCTCTTTTTTAATTACCTTGTCCATGCACCGGTCCATCCAGTGATGCTACTGACCTACAGGAAGGCCCTCCACAGACCCATCTCCAGGGTCGGTGGTGACCAGGGCGCCCAGTGTCGTGTGAGGGCCTTAAAGACCAAATGGGGAGTTTATCTGATACCTTCCTTCTCCATCCCCTGGGTTGTACAGTGCTGAGACCCACAGAGCTTCCCAAACCTGTGCAGTGGGTATCATCTGAACAGTGGTGGGAAGGTACTGATCATGGCTTGGAGACTCAGTGAGGATACTTGGACAATGTCCATAAAGTCATATTGCAGATTTCTCTCTGAGGATCTTCCAACATCTTGCTGCATTTTCAGCTGTTCACAGCCGGGATGGGGGTGGGGGTTGGGTTAAAAAAAAATTCTTAAAGGAACTGAACCTCCCATACCTCCCCATGAAGGGACACTCCTATCTGACTGACAGAAGTGGCCAGGAGTCGCTTAGATCTGCTGGAAAGGAAATGAAAACAGGAAAAATACTGAGCTAACATTTCAGAGCGCCTGTTGGCAGCCAAAGCCCATTGACTTGCAGAAACAGCCAGATGGAGAAAGCTGTAGAAAATGTGTCCTGGACTGTCAAGTGCAGGATGAAGTTTGTCACCAATGTGAAGGAGGGGGGATGCCAAGCCCCTGGTCAGGAAACCATGGTTCTATAAGCCAAAGTTCACAACTATAGAGAGCTACCAAGGCCAAGGCTACCACTGCAGGGCACAGACAGGAGAATGTCAGCCTCGTCTGCCCTCCGTCAGTGGCTGATGGCTAATCTGGAGATCAAGTTAGAGACACTGACCTACTGTAGAGCACAGGGAACTATATTCAATTTCTTGTAATAACATATAATGGAAAAGAATTGGAAAAGAAAAAATATATATGTATGTATATGTGTAACTGATCACTTTGCTGTACATCTGAAACTAACATTGTAAATCAAATACACTTCAATAAAAAAATTTTTTAAAAACCTAAAGACACTGCTCTCTGAGAAACCCACATTTGAAGTACTAGGTAAAAGCTAATACAAGCAGATGTGAATAAAACACAGGCAAGAGAGTCCAGCAACAAATTGTGGCCTGGTGAGTGACCCTAAATGCATCCTCAGGACCCTGCTGGGGATGGGAGGAGCATTTTTTAAAGAACAGACCATTAAATAAACTATTTGTGCATGGTTGGCAGAGTTTATTATTTTACTATTACTTTAAAAAATCTCTTAGAACTATGTGGCTTTAAGATGCTTCATTTGCCCTGGACAAAAAAGCTGGTAAATATTATTTGTAATCAGTGCTGTCTGAGGACCAGCTTCATTGGCACTGCCCAGGACCCTGATACAACTAGAGAATGTTAGACCCTAGCCCAGACCTACCAAACCGGAATCTGCCTTTGAACAAGATCTCTGAAAGCTTCACATGCACATTAAAATTTGAAAAGCACCGCTTTAGAGGAAGTTAGGCAACTGGGTGAAGGGTAATAGCTCAGTGGTAGAGCATGTGCTTGCATGTACAAGGTCCTAGATTCAATCCTCAGTACAAGAAAGAAAGGAAGAAAAAAGGAAGAAAGAAAGGAAAAGAAAGGAAGGAAGGAAGAAAAAAGACAGAAAGAAAGAAAGAAAGAAAGAAAGAAAGAAAGAAAGAAAGAAAGAAAGAAAGAAAGAAAGAAAGAAAGAAAGAAAGATTAAACAAATAAAAATTAAGATCATTTAAAAAAAAAAAGAAGAGCTGAAATGGACTGATAGTTAAGTGCTGGCTGGCTTTAAACAAGGAGTGATATTACAGCCAGCTCAGTGCCCACTTCCACTCACTGGGCAGGAGATCTAGCAACAGCCCCTGGGCTGCATCAGGGTGGCGTAGGCAGTAATGAAGAGGCAGAGGAAGAGGGCCTGGCTTCAGCATCTCAACTCGAAGGACAACACAGAGCCTCTCCCTCTAGATGCCATCGTACATTCTCACCCTTTGCCCACAGAAGGCCAAGGCCCCTCTGATTATAGCTCATGCAAAGGAACCCCAAGCAATGTAAAAGAAAACATATATATGTGTGTTTTTCCACTTAACAAAGGGTAATGGGCCTCTTCTGAAACTTGTGCTTGGCGGTATACGCATAGAAGTAATTTTCCTTTTGCTTACTTTTCCAAAGAAGCTGCACCATGCAGTCGAGCTAATTACTTCGCTTTCAGTCTCGTTGAGCAGTAACTGTTCATGGTATGTAGACTTCCTACCTGTAAGATTCACTGAGAAAGGGATTTTGTTCATTCAAAGCCGTGCTTAAATCCTGGCTGTCCCAATTGCCATGTGACCCTGGACAAGCCTTTTATTTTCTGAAATGGAGACAGTAAACCATAAAACGCTGAGTGTTAATTACAATCCATTACTCATCGCTAAGTGGAAGCACAGCAGCGCAGCTTAGCCTGGCCTGACTGATAGCAGCCACTATCACCCCAGAGTTACAGTCCAGGAGACTAAAGCTTTCAGAGCTATGGCGCAACATCCTCCAGCGAGAAAGTGACAAAGCCCCAGGATGGGCGATCCCAGCACCACCTCTCTTAAGACCCCTGAAATCATCACCCTGATGCACAGAAGGCACACAGTCTCTCTCAGTGCCTTCCAATCTGTCTGTAATTGATGCTCCCACACTTTAAGATGAAATCACAAGTGAACCAGATTTACAAAGGATCATCATCGACAATTTAATGTTAGGAGAGTCATCAATGTTCACATCATTTCTCTTACTACCCTTCTGACTGCAAAAGTCATCACTGATATTTTAAATTGTGACCTGTTTGATTTTCACTCTCCTTTGCTTCTGAGTCATTTGATTTTTCACCCTGGAAAAATCTAACTCTTCATGTCAACAAGAAAATATCTCAAAACAAGATGGTAAAACAAACATACTATTGACTTTTAGACTATAAAATAACTAACCTCTCTCTCTCCCTCCCCGCCCCTCTATTCCCGCTCCTCCCTGTTCTTTTTTTTTTTTAAATGAAACCAAGCATAGATTCCAGTCACCCAGACTGGAGAATAAGCATACTCTTAGCTTGAGTGAAACAGAGAAGACTGAAACTAAAAGATTGAATAGACTTGAATTTAAAAAAAAACCAAAACTTTCTCTCAAACAATAGCATTTAAGAGAATGCAGCAAAGGTTAGGCATGCCGAGAATGCTGTATTTTCTGGTATCATCTGATTCGCTTTTAAGATAATTAGTGGAGATCAGAGTATTGCTTGAATAACAAACACACTTCTGGAGAGAAGCAGGAAGGAGACAGCTGAGAATCCTGAGCAGTAGCTCTGCCGGCTCACCCGCCTTATTTGTATCTCTAAATTCTCTCTGTGGCTTCAGTGATGTCTGGGTGACCCCAGGGGCAAGACATTGATGTGTGGGTTTGGCAGCATTCAAACTCTGAGTACTTTGCAGGCATTACCCTTAACTATGCATCACTCCCCTCTCCTGGGGGAGATACTTGCTAACCCTATCGCAGGAAGAGGGAAATTGCTGCACGCACACTCACAGTCCTCTTAACAATCCAACATGGTGCCTACTATTATTATTCCCATTTTGCAGATGAGGCAACTGAGGTCTTGACAGATTTAGTAACTTTCCCAATACAGTTCAATAAGTATTGAAGCTGGAGTTAAACCCAGCTCTCTCTGACTTCAGAGTCTGAGCTAGAATAACAAGTAACATTTCTGCCTTATCTCATGTCCTTGTTTTACATCTGCATTTCCACAACTGCAAGAAAGCAGAGAGAAGCAAAAATCATCACAACAAAAATGTCGTGAGTATTCCCAATAAACAAAAGGCTTCTTTATTTACCATCTGGCTGGCCAAGCTGCCAAGGAGGTGCCACCGGCATAAATGTTCAGCCAACCCTGGTTTCTACCTATCTTTTGTCAGATGTGAACTACTTCTGAGTAACATTCATAATTTTTCATTTTTAGAAAAACCTCTCCCAACATTGCCACATTGTGAGAGAAAAAAATTAGCAGTTGCTGAGTATTTGGTGTGAGCTGTGTTAGCACACAGTCTGCCACTCAACCCCTCCCACACCTCACCAGACACCATTAATCAGTCGTACTACACACTTCCTAGTAAGACTGAAACAGAGCTTCAGAATCCTTCCTAACACAATTCTCTAGATAAAAACTAGCAACCAATTAGAGCTGGCACACAGACAGGGTGATACCTGTTTGCTCTTCCTTGTCTAAAAATGTATCTGGGTACTTTCCCACAGTCCTTGTTATGTGAGCATTCACTACCCAAGTTTCACTTGTGAAGCTGCACAGAGAAAGCAAAAGTCATCACAAAACAAAGATATTCACCAAAGGAACTGACCACTTTTCTATGTCACACCTCCTCAGCCATCCCTCCCCCACTTTTTACACAAGCCAGCTCCCCTAAAGTAAGAATGTTGTGCTCTTTGTCAACAGTTTTGCAAGTGCCTGTTCAAAAATATAAAGATGGCTATTGTTGGGAAATATGAACTTCTCATGAGGTGGTTGAAAGTGTTATTGGCAGACTGCTTAAATCAGACACATGAAGCCACTAACAAATGAGAATCTGGGGAAACTACACCAGCCAAAAATTGAAGAGAAAGTCTTTGGGTGATGACAAGACAGGTGCTTCAAAAGAGATCATTTAAATATCAAAGGATTGAGCTCAAGCTCTTGGGAAAACTGATAAAGCCCTGGAATATTTTTGCAAAAAAAATGACCTTGTTTATGCACATTCTGTGAAAACCAAACATAATGTGAAAGATTGTGCCATCCTCCTGCACAAGTGTGTCAGAAAACAACTCTGCTGCCAAAAAAAAAAAAAAAAAAAAAAACATGTCACTAATCACCACTGAATTCTTAATGAAGTCTTTTTTGCAGGTAATTCTATACAAAATGAAGCAGACTCAGTCTTACCACTTATAGTACATTTGGAATTTAATATGGAGTTTGGGATTAACTGGGGGAATTTTGTTGTTTTGTTTTGTTTTATTTTGTTTAAAAAGAAAAAACTTTTAGTCCAAAATTTTTTGCAGATGAAGTTTAAAAAAAAAAAGTCACAGAGAGAATCATCAGTGATTTGCTGACGTCACAGCAACCTAGAGCCCATAGTCCCAGAGACCCTGAGGATTTGTTAATTTAATGTTTTCTCAGTCATGTCTCTGATCTGAACCTAAATTCCTTAGTTCCCCAGAGGTGATAATGGAAGTGGTGAGACTGGGTCTAATTCATTTTGTATAGAATTACCTGAAAATAAAACTTCATAAATATTTCAAAGAAAAGCATATGTCCCATCTTCTGCCCCATCACATTTGTTACCTGTCACATCTCACGAGAGATAGGTGTTTCTGGATGGTTCCTTCCCAAATTGGGTAAGGCAGGGATGTGAAACTCAAAGGGAACCTTCTAGGTGAGGGCTCCTGGGTAGTATGCTGAATGGTTAAGACCACGGGCATTGAGTAAAACAGAATAGTGTGGCTCCACAACATATTAGCTGTGTGACCATGGGCAGGTGAACTAACCTCTCTGAGCCTCACTTCCGGCATCCGTATAGTAGAGATAATAATAGCCACTTCACAGTGTGGTTGTGAAGTGTAAGTCAGCAAATGCCTGCCAAGCAACCAAAGTAAGATTCAGTCCAAGGTAGACTCTTCCCATCCCACTTCTCTACTGTCTCATTTCTTTCAGTCTTGGTCCAGACCTTTAGAGATGCCTCCTTCTCCCCTGTTATAATGCTGCCAATTCGAGGCAGAGATCTGTGATACTGAAGGTCAGTGAGATGCAAGAGGCAGAATGAGCCTGCCTGGGATCCCACTGACCCCACAACCTATGAGCCCTTCTGACGGGCAACAGCTGAGCCCTTCTGTTAACCAAGCAGGATGCTTTTCCTAAACTCTACTACTGTGCAGGGTGCTGAGTGGAGCCTCTCAAAGTCTCAGGCCCCAAATCCCATTTCCAAATAGCCTCTGCCCTAGAACCAGTTCCCACAAACCTTGCC